CATTCTTCTCAGATCTAGAAAAAATGATGCTGAAATTCATATGGAGGTACAAGAGACCTCAAATAGCTAAAGCAATCTTGTACAACAAAAACAAAGCTGGAGGCATCACAATACCAGCTTTCAGGACATACTACAGGGCAGTTGTTATCAAAACAGCATGGTACTGGTACAGAAACAGATGGATAGACCAATGGAACAGAATTGAAACACCAGAAATCAACCCAAACATCTACAGCCAACTTATATTTGATCAAGGATCTAAAACCAATTCCTGGAGCAAGGACAGTCTATTCAATAAATGGTGCTGGGAAAACTGGATTTCCACATGCAGAAGCATGAAGCAAGACCCCTACCTTACACCTTACACAAAAATCCACTCAACATGGTTTAAAGACCTAAATCTATGACCTGACACCATCAAGTTATTAGAGAACATTGGAGAAACCCTTCAAGATATTGGCACAGGCAAAGAATTTCTGGAAAAGACCCGGGAGGCACAGGAAGTCAAAGCCAAAATCAACTATTGGGATTGCATCAAATTGAGAAGTTTCTGTACTGCAAAAGAAACAGTCAGGAGAGTGAAGAGACAACCGACAGAATGGGAAAAAATATTTGCAAACTATGCAACAGATAAAGGGTTAATAACCAGAATCTACAAAGAGATCAAGAAACTGCACAAAAACAAAACCAACAACCCAATTAAGAGATGGGCCAAGGACCTCAATAGACATTTTTCAAAAGAGGAAATCCAAATGGCCAACAGGCACATGAAAAAATGTTCAAGGTCACTAGCAATCAGGGAAATGCAAATCAAAACCACAATGAGGTTTCACCTCACCCAGGTTAGAATGGCTCACATACACAAATCTACCAACAACAGATGCTGGCGAGGATGTGGGGAAAAAGGGACACTAACCCACTGTTGCTGGGAATGCAAACTGGTCAAGCCACTATGGAAGTCAGTCTGGAGATTCCTCAGAAACCTCAATATAACCCTACCATTCGACCCAGCCATCCCACTCCTTGGAATTTACCCAAAGGAATTTAAATTGGCAAACAAAAAAGCGGTCTGCACCCTAATGTTTATTGCAGCACAATTCACAATAGCCAAGACCTGGAACCAACCTAAATGCCCATCAACGATAGACTGGATAAAGAAATTATGGGATATGTACTCTTTAGAATACTATACCGCAGTAAGAAACAACGAAATCCAGTCATTTGCAACAAAATGGAGGAATCTGGAACACTTCATGCTGAGTGAAATAAGCCAGTCCCAAAGGGACAAATACCATATGTTCTCCCTGATTGGTGACAACTGACTGAACACCAAAAGGAAACCTGTTGAAGTGAAATGGACACTATGAGAAACGGTGACTTGATCAGCATAGCCCTGACTGTTAATGAACAACTTAATACATTATCCCTCTTAGTAGTTTTTTTTGTCTGTTCTACTTAATATGACTGGTTTAATTCTGTAATTAATAAACAGTTATTCTTAAGTGTTGAAAATTAACTGAAATGTGATCCCCGTTAAACATAAGAGTGGGAATAAGAGAGGGAAGAGATGTACAGTTTGGTACATGCTCAAGCTGACTTGCCCCAAATGGTAGAGTTAGAAACATACCAGGGGACTCCAATTCAATCCCATCAAGGTGGTATGTACCAATGCCATCTCACTAGTCCAAGTGATCAATTTCAGTTCACAATTGATCATAATGAAAGGACTAAGAGTCAAAGGGAGCACATAAACAAGTCTAGTACCTGCTAATACTAACCGATAGAATAAATAAAGGGGAGAGTGATCCAACATGGGAAGCAAGACACTCAGCAGACTCATAGAATGGCAGATGTCCTAAACAGCACTCTGGCCTCAGAATCAGCCCTAAAGGCATTCCAATCTGGCTGAAAAGCCCATGAGAGTATTTCAGGCATGGAAATCCAAGACACTCTTGCAAAAAACAAAAACAAAAACAAAAACAAAAAACAAAAAAACAAAAACAAAACCTAAATGAAAGATCTCTGTGAGTGAGATCCCAGTGGAAAGAACAGGTCTTCAAAGAAGGAGGTACCTTTCTCTGAAGGGAGGAGAGAACCTCCACTTTGACTATGACCTTGTGTAAACAAGATAAGAGTTGGAGAACTCAAGGGGCTTCCATAGCCTTGGAAACTCATGACTGGAGCATAGGGAGATTACTGATGCCATAAACAGGAGTGTCAATTTGCAAAGTCAACAACAGGAGTCACTGTGCACTTACTCCTCATGTAGGATCTCTGTCCTTAATGTGCTGTACATTGTGATTTAATGGTATAACTAGTACTCAAACAGTATATTTCACTTTTTGTTTCTATGTGGGTGCAAACAGTTGAAATCTTTACTTAATGTATACTAAACTGATGTTTTGTAAAAAAAAAAAAAAAAAAGAAGAAGAAGAAATTATCAATTCCCAACTTGACTCTCACTGGGATTAAACATGACAATAGGTCTGATCTGATTTCATCATCATTTAAAAAATCATCTATTGTTTTTCACTTTATGTTTCTGTGTGGGAGCAAACTGTTGAAATCTTTACTTAATGTATGCTAAACTGATCTTCTGTATATAAAGAGAATCGAAAATGAATCTTGATGTGATTGGAAGGGGAGAGGGAGTGGGAAACGGGAGGGTTGCGGGTGGGAGGCACGTTATGGGGGGAAGCCATTGTAATCCATAAGCCGTACTTTGGAAATTTATATTCATTAAATAAAAGTTAAAAAAAATTAAAGAATAAAATGAAAGGAAGACCAAAAAAAAATATTCTAGGTTGACAGTTGTTTTTTCTCTACAATACTGTTTTTAATTTTTATAATATCTTCAATTTTTTTGGTGTGAGAAATTTCCAAAGATTCGTCTTCTAGCTCTTTCTCCTGCCTCACCAAATCTGTTGTTATGGCTTTCTACGTATGCAATATGTGAAAAACATACTGAATTATTCATTTTTAATATTTCAGTTTGATTTCTCCTCAAAATCTCAATTTCATGGAAGAATTTGTCATACATGGCATGTATGGATTTCTTTAATTCATGAATATACTTCTCATTGCTTTTGAGTAATCCTATGATTAATCTTTTGAATTCCACTTGAGGATTTAATCAATCTCTTCCATATTCACTTTCAAATATGGAAGTATTGTTGTGTCCATTTGGGGGATTCCTGTTGTCTTCCTTTTTCTGTTTCTTGAATTTCTGCATTTATTTTTAAGCATTTGTGGAAAAATACTTGTTGGTTTTTGCTCTGATGGTTTTTATCTTTGAATTATGCCTCTGTGGCTTAGTGGGGGTATCTGCTCTTTCAGTGAAACCCCAGAGGCATGTGCCGAGTGTGGCCAGGGAGCTCTGGTCACTGCTGCAGGATGGGTCCATATTCATGATGATATCCAAGTTGGGCGAGGTAGATCTCTTTATAGCAGAAAGGTCACCTCTGTTGATGTAATCACACCCTCACCTCCTCTCTTCCAAGTAAGCAATGTGAACTAAAACCTAGGTGGTTTTAGTGAAAATTTTATTCACATTGCCATATGAACCACACAAAGGATCTGTGCAGTTCTCATTATGATCACAGATCCCATTGCAATCCCACCCCAGGCAATCAGGGAGCTCTGAGCATATGGAATCACACACAATACTTGTCCAGAGATGTAGCTACACCTTGAGCTCTCTTGTGCAGTCACAGAATTGCCACAGTCTCAGCACACTACTCCTGCCATCATGGGGTCCAGAGGACCCACCCTTCCCTGGTAACCTGTCATGACTGCAGAAAGTCAAAGATGTTTCCAGAGCCAGCTGCCTGTGGGTATTCTGCCTAGGAGGCTTGAGCCCCAGAGCCTGTGATATGTTGAACAAATGGGGGCCACTCATATTGCTGCTTGCATGCTCATCCCCCTATCAATCCTCCCAGCCAGACTTAAAGTCAGTGGAGAACTTGCTTCTCCCCTCTGCTATAATCTCTGGATCACAGCTGTGCACAAGAGTGCCAACCAACTGTTGCCTTCTCTCCACTGGTTGCTGATTGTGTGCACCTGAGTTGTTGCCATCGGTACTGCTGACATGATGTGTTGTCCCAGCTGGCTGCTGGGCTCAAGCACAAGAGCTTTCACAACTGCTGCTTTTGCCCAAAATGGCACCGCCATCTCTCAGCTGGTTGTCTGGTGCCATTGTGGGTGAGATGAGGAGAGAAAAACATACACTATCCACCCATCTGCAGTCACAGAACAAAAATCAAGGTCATGGCAATGGTGAGCTTCCCTACAGATATACTCTGACAAATCCAATGTCCTCCATACCCTCTGTTCAGCTCCCAGCTGACAATCCCTCTCCAAGCCTGTGGTCAGACACAGGTGTGTGTCTCTACTGTGGAAATAGCAAATTGTGGTTCAGATGGATTAAGTGCCTGCCTGCAGTTACACAAAGAGATCTGGGAAGTGAACTCCACTCACCAAAGGTTGGCATTTGTGATTTCTATGTGCATTGATCTGATACCTCATATCTGAACCTAACAATGGGGTTTGACTCTCCCAATATGCTACGCATAACTGACAAAATTGTAAATTTGTCATTTGTGGGGCTTGCATTTGACCTGGTCATGTAGACACCAGTCAGGATTCCAGCATCCCAGATTGGAGTGTCTGCGTTTGAGTCCTGAGTCTGCTCTTGATTCCATCCTCCCACTAATGCATACCCTGGGATGCAGCAGGTGATGGCTCAGTAGTTGTGTTTTTCTCACCCAGCAGGGTGACCTAGATTACATTCCTGGCTCCTGGCTTCAGTCCCTGACCAACCCTTGGCTGTTTTAGGCATTTGAGAATGAACCAGTGGGTGGAGTATCTGCCTGTCTTTAGCTCTGTCTCTGTCTTCATGTCTCTCTGCCTCAGAAATAAAATAATTTAAAAACAAAGATCAGGAGGAATAAAACCCAATGTGCCATGACTTTTAGTCATGTCATCAAGTTCTCTCTGTGCAGGAACTCTTGAGAAAATCGTGGGAAAAACATTAAAAGACATTTGCAGTAAGCTCACAAGGAGGGCTGAGCACTGAGAAGAGTTGTCATGATGGAATGAAGGCAGCAGGCCTTGTTGGCAGGACAATGAGTGTGAGTGTGCGTGAGGATGGGGTCCTTCCTAGCCCAGATAGGTTCTGGACTCCAAAATGCCTTCTGTGCAGTACCTGCAGGGTCTGCTCCAGGCACTTTCATCCCCTTCTCACACCCACTTGTTGGTTGTCTGCTGCTACCTGAATGCACTTTAGCTGAACTTCAGGTTGTAGGCCCATGAGCCAACCAGGTCCATGTCCAAGTATCTACTAGGTTGTGCCCTGCCTGGCAGCTCCAAGGAGATTCCAGTTTTCAGCTGATGCTGAGTGTGGGCAAACTGTGTCCTATGTACCTACAGGACTGAGGCTCCAGTCCCCTTCCACTGCCCCTCCTGCCACATCACTTCCAGGTGATAGCAATGGGCCCACAAGCAGAACCCTGGAAAACCTCCCACTGTCACACCTGTGAAGTCTTTTGTCAACTGTCATGGAACCACCTAGAAGCCAGGGAGGGATTCAGGGCCTGGTCTTGGGGACAGGGATTTTCATACCCACTTGGAAGGGAGACATTCTCTAAATGAGTTGAATAGCCTCTCTGGAAACATGACAGGCAGCTGAACTGGGCCCTGGACACAGCCCTCTGCAAGGGAAGCCATGACCTCAAAGTAGAAAGATAAGGACAAAATGGTGGGAATGATTGTAACTTAGGCATGTGTGTTTTCATTTCAAAAGGCACTTCAAGTATCCAGCCCAACACTTGTGCCATAAACCAACGATTCAAATGTTTGGAAATTTCAGTGGAATGATAGGTCCTGAAAGCTCCCAGGACAGAACAAATCCACAGGGAAGAATTGAACCATCATGGGTTTCTCATGGAACACAAAATGCTCAGCCTTAGAAGCTGGTTCCAAAGTTCTAGAAGGGATCAGCATTCAGCCCAGAACTCCAGGCACAGTTGCTGCCAGCGTGCAAGGGAGTTTATCACCAAGATGATGGTGTTTGTACACATTCCTACTCTAAATGACATGGAGAATGGTGACTGAGGGTCCCTGGTTGACCGAACTTCCTAGGACAGTCATAGTACTAGATTCTTGTGTGTTACCTGCTGGCCTGGGTACAAAGAGGATTACAACTGGGAGGAGACCAGGTATGGAAGGGTGCGGTGCCTTTTTGCTTTTCATTACTTCCTATTCACTGCCACCTACTTCCCAATCTAGCACACTACAGCAAGTAGGGTTGTGATCCTTAGACAGATGTGCATTCAAATTACATCAATGACTTCCTGTGACTTTACATTACTTCTTAAAATAAAAGTGAGTCTGCATGCTGTTTTAAGCTAGAAGTCACTTGGGATCACTTTTGCAAAATCTAAATCATTTAAACCAATGAGGTCCAAGGTGGCAGAATAGTGATACTCTGCCTTGTCAAACTAGTGGATCCAAAAGGCTTCCAAGTCCAAGGCAACTCATGTTAAGAGCTTTGGGTGATCACTGATATCATACCTAAGAGGCCTATTTGTTAAATAAATAACAAGAGTCACTGTGCATTAACTTCTCATGCAGGACCTCTGTCCCCAAAGAGTTGCATCATGAGATTTAATAGTAAAATGTATTATCAAGAATCACTTCCTTTTAGTGTATTAAATGGAGGATATTATTATGTCCTATAAGTTATCGTTATGTCTAAGAGCTCCCAAAAGATGAAACATTCTTGGGTTCTTCTTGAAAGACAATTAAATTACTAAATGGATTGTTTCTCACTCTTTTTTTCCTTTCTTTTTCTTTCTTAGAATAAACAGGAGAAGGAGGATGAAGGGGGGAGAGTGAGTGGGAAGAATTACTATGTTCCTAGTTTTGGATTTATGATATACAGAAATAACAAAAAATCATAACAAACTCTATTAATATTAAAAACACGAAGTAATATTTTTCTTTGTTTTTGATCTGTATTTCACAGTGAAGCTTAAGCGTCATTTACCCTTATATTAAAATGGAGTTTTGTAAAAAAAAAAAAATCCTGCTCAACCGGTGTGCAAAACGCACACAAAACAAAAAATGTTGCCACTTTATCTGCATGAAAAAAGAAACACACTTCAGGTGAGTAGGTATCTAACTAAAGCACATAACAAAGTAACTTCAGTTCATATTTTTTCCAGAAGTTGCCTGGGTAGAAGTTATTCCGAAGGTTACTCAAATATTCTTCCAGTGCTTAGTACCATGCTCAAGTATTGCCGTCAACACAGAGGACACCCGCACAATGACGTCAGCACAGCCGTGGTCACACTCTGGTACCTGCTCCATTAGGCCCTGCACAGTGAGCGCCTTGCCAGCAGCCGCGTCACTTTCTATTTGTAGGCTGGCTGCCTGGTGCTGACGTTTACTTAGCGCCCCCAAAGATAATGAATGAAATTGAAATCGTTTTACCTTGACGGAGTGAAGCCGTCCTCCCTCCTGAGGTTTGGCCCGTATTGTATATTTTTTTTCTAGGCGGCGCTCAAATAAGCCTCCAAAGTGCCCGCCACTGGACGCCATCTTGCCCGGAAGTAGGGTAGATCAAGGCATGCCAGGATTGGCTGGAGAATCGACAGCATCGGTCATCATTTCCTGAGAGCAGGGACTGAAGGGACGTGGTGCCGCCCCCTGGCAGCCCCGCAGAGAGGATGTGAGAGACTTGCTCCCGCCTCCCCGCCACAGGGCACCTGGCGGGACGCAGGGCGGGGAGAGGGGGCGGGGCCGATCGCTCTCCGTTGGAGTCAGACAACCGCTAGGGCGGCCATTTCCCAAGCGGCGGGGCCACACTGTGGTGTGAGGCTGCGATCGCCGCGCGGGGCGGGGGAGGCGGCCCGGCCATTCACCCATGCTTCAGACTGCTTCCTCCGCCTGCCGCGGCGCCTCGTGGCCCAGCTGCTGCGGGTGATGCGCCGGTCCCGGGAAACCTGGACGGGCGGCCTGGGGTGGGATGTGGCAGAGTCCCTCCGGGGTCTTGTGTGCAGTTGGGCGCCGGGCCGTGCAGCGGCCAGGCCGCGGCTCCCAGGAGGGCAGGATGTTTCTCGGTGGTCTTTGCAGTCCATGCCAGGTCTGGGCCGGCCCTGTCTTTACTGTCCCATACCATACCTTCCCACTCTGATAAGGAAGAAATAAATACGGAGTGGATATTGCATTTGGTTGGCAGTTTAGAATCCTAAATCTATAGTCTTTAGAGCTCATGATATATGTTTCTAATCATGTTACTAAAATAATAAGTTTATATTTTACTTAACTATAATCTCGCTGTTGATAGGCTTTAAGACAGCCTTAAGATTTCACTGTTAGAAATTCTGCAGAAAATCTTCTGGTGTGATCTTTCAGTCATGAATTTGGAATACTATGCTGACTTATTTACTTATCCAAGATTGTGTAAATTTATGGGCAACCTATTACCATTTTGAATTCTGAGATGGTTGAATCAATTTGTATGCGGTCATAGGAATATGAGGGCATTGGTTTCATCTGTGTCATCACCAGCACTGACTGTTGGAAATGAAAATAAGTTTCTGAATGTTATGACAAATATGGATAAGAGAGATCTTCAATTCTGCAGAACTCATCTTGTATGTGTGGAGTACAATAATAGTTTTATATTTGTGTGGATTAAAAAAAACAGGTTACAAACTTTTAAAACCTTTTTCCTTCTCATTTTTACATGAATCGAATCAAGCTCTGGAAGTAGCCTGCATTTGAGAGCTGGATGGAAGGCAGGCATTTTAGTGATCATGGTGAAAATGTGGCTGCAACTGACACAAGTTGGTCTAAACTGGGACTCCCAAATAGAGGCCCAGGTAAGCACAAAGTGTAATGGGAATGAATTTCTTCTGATGTCACAATATAGCAAAGAAAGTGAAAAGTTCAGATTTTTTTAATTGAAGTGAGATGATACCCAACTTATATATTGTTATACCCAGACAAGGATATTCAAGTGATTAAGTCATTATCTTGTAGTTTACCATACTTCTTGGTTTATTTGTGTTCTATTTTTTTTTTTACACACTGCTTAGGTTTACTAATTCTGTTTTTGTGAAATTCTTCTTCCTTTATGAATTGCTAGGTTTTACCATTATTGAACTTTATTTTCTAGCTTTCCATGGTCTTGACTAAAAATGCCAATTCCATAATGGGTTATTTTCCTACTTTAGTCTTTCCTATTAATTTTTTAAAAGAGTTATTTTATTTATTTGAAAGGAGGTGCTATGGAGAGAATGACAGACACAGAGAGAAATTTTCCATCTGCTGGTCACTTCTCAGATGGCTGCAACCAGAGCTAGGAGCTTCTTCTGGGTCCCCAATCTGTGCAGAACCTAAGGATTTGTGCCAAATCTGCTGCTTTCCCAGGCACATTAGCAGAGACCTGGATTGGAAGTGGAGCAGTGAGGACTCCAACTAGTGCACATATGGGATGCTGGCATTACAGGCGGTGGCTTTACCTGGTATGCCACAATACTGGTTCCTTGCCTAGGAATTTAATGGGCATGATTGCAAGCCCCAAAGCTCAGGAATTGTGTCTGTTTTTAATTCTTTTTTGCCAATTGAATCCTTTAAACACATTTTAAACTATAGGAGTAACATGCATTTGTTATATTTTACACTTGAAAGCAAAAACTGGGATTTTCCCCTAACCCCATTCCCAGTCTTGGTGTGAATTTTTCCTGTTGTTTGGGGGTCTCACTAGACCCATTGGATTTTAAGAAGAGATCAGAAAGGATGTTCTCAATGGTTTTCCCTACTAAATATATCCAAGAAGCCAGCGCCGTGGCTCACTAGGCTAATCCTCCACCTTGCGGCGCTGGCACACCGGGTTTTAGTCCCAGTCGGGGCGCCGGATTCTGTCCCGGTTGCCCCTCTTCCAGGCCAGCTCTCTGCTGTGGCCAGGGAGTGCAGTGGAGGATGGCCCAGGTGCTTGGGCCCTGCACCCCATGGGAGACCAGGATAAGTACCTGGCTCCTGCCATCGGATCAGCACGGTGCACTGGCGGCAGCGCGCCAGCTGCGGTGGCCATTGGAGGGTGAACCAATGGCAAAAGGAAGACCTTTCTCTCTGTCTCTCTCTCTCTCACTGTCCACTCTGCTTGTCAAAAAAAAATATCGAAGTTTGCATCGAACATCTTTGTATATAAGATCCTCTTTTGTGGCAATGCCACTGGGATATCATTTCCCAAAGAGTCACGGTTAGGAACAGGAAGTGGACTGGCTAACCAAGGAGTCCTTGACTTCTTGCTGGGCAGAATCTTTGTGCTTTGTGCTTCCTCAGATTCATCCTGTTCACATATGGGACAAAGGAGACAGCAAGCAGAAGTTGTGCTGCTCCAAGGCAGTTAGGAAAGGCTGATTGCCTGGGGCGTGGTTTTGGTTTTTAATCCTTAATCCCAAAAGGGCCTACAGAGGGGAGAGGATGAGATGGTGGGCCCCAGATTGTTGAGACACATGCATGTTTCATGTATCTTTAGATTACAATGGGGGTGCTTATTATCTAAATTATTGATTCTGATCTCAGCTCAATGTGTTCACTTTCCTGGAAGCAGCATGGTTTAAAAACTAACCGTTGGTGAACTTACAGAGGTAATATGTATTTGTGAGTTAGATCAAGCATGACTTTATAACTTTATCATTTTGTCTTGCATGCTCATACTTATTTTTTGAAAAAAAATTATTTATTTTTATGAAAGGCGGCAATACTGAGATAGAAGAGATGTATTTCCCTTATTATTTAGTTGATTGTGAAATAATTTTTCCCAGAATGCTAAGTATGTCAAGGGTAGCTAATAACAGATACATAATAAATATTGTCACACGAAAGACTACACATAAGATTATATAAGCACCGATTTTCTGAAGATACAGAAGTCTTTTAAAAATAGCTTCAGATTTTAAACTTTTGGAGCATTTCTCAAGCTTTGCTCCTATGTAGTGTCCTGTCAACAAATTGAGGTGAAGCTGCTCCTGGCAGAGGACTGGAAATTACTGGCCAATGAAACAAACTTCTTCTAGATACCAGTGTTTTCAGATGTTTCTTCTCTGAGTTTTGTTATATATTCTGAGTTGGTTTGAGTTATGAGAATAGTGAACAAACATGAGGAACACAGGTAAAAAATGAACTGGAATTGAAATTCATGATAAATAAGTAGATTCTGGCTGCTTTTGCCATACAAACATAAAACCCTGGGTCTCTATGTTAGAGGATGGATATGTTAATTTGCTTGAATATATTAATTTTAACTATGTGTATCCTATGACATCATGTTATATCCCTTGAATGTACATAATAAACCCACAAAGGGAAGGGGCAGAATGTAAAGTGAGCTATGTGTTTGTTTATTATAGATGCTACACATTGCTTTCCTTAAACAGCATCTTCTGGAACAAATTCAGAAAGTTTTCCCAAAAGCCATTTTTCCTGTTTCAGTCTGTCCACAAAAGTATATATTTATCCAAATTGCCAGGTACTGTTGTAAGATTTACCTTCATACACTCCAGCGTAGCACTGAGTCCAGAGCCTAGACAAACATGCAGTTAGACCTGTGTATTCTACACAGCTGCACTGATGCCAGCAGCCTCTTACAGAAGGCTCAACACTGATATCAGACTCCTGATTCAGCCAAGCACATGTTTAGCCAAAAAGAATACACTTTCAAAAGCAGATGATATACATGGGGGAATTTCACAGTTTTGGAATGAGAGAAGGATTTCAACCCAAGCAATTTCAGTTATATACTGTGGGAGTTTCTGAGTCTTATGAAACAGACTGTGAGATTTCAGCGGACTGTGAGAGCATCACTGTGACCTATGGAAAGCTAACTAAGCTACTTTCTCCTGAGCAGTGGCAAAATAAACCCAAGCAAAATGTCCTTTCACCTGAAAAAGAGAAGCCAATATGAGAGCCACCAGATCAAAACCACATTGCCTCAGATTACGGTCAAGGAGTTGGACAGGCTCGTGTGCTGAATGTTATCTGGAATGGTCTTGAGGATTTGAACAATGCTCTAAAATTACACCAAACTTGTAGAAGCTTGGGGCCAACACTGTAGCATAGTGGGTAAAGCCGCTGCCTGCAAGGCCGGCACCCCATATGGGCGCCAGTTTGTCTCAGCTGCTCCACTTCAGATCCAGCTCTCTGCTATGGCTTGGAAAGGCAGCAGAAGTTGGCTCAAGTCCTTGTGCCCCTGCACACATGTGGGAGACCTAGAAGAAGCTCCTGGCTCCTGGCTTCAGATTGGCTCAGCTCCAGCCATTGTGGTCTATTGGAAGTGAACCAGTGGATAGAAGACCTCTCTCTCTCCTTCTATCTCTCCTTCTCTCTGTGTAATTCTGATGTTCAAATAAATAAATCTTAAAAAAATGTAGAAGCTCTCCAATCTGGTGGATTTAGATTAGTATACATTTTAAGATTTGGGGGAAAGTTTATATAATATTCATGAATTAGAATAACATTTTTAAAAAAGGTTTTATTTATTTGACAGGTAGAGCTATAGACAGTGAGAGGAAGAGACAGAGAGAATGGTCTTCCTTCTGTTGGTTCACTCCCCAGATGGCCACAATGGCTGAGGTGCACCAATCCAAAGCCAGGAGACAGGTGCTTCCTCCTAGTCTCTCATACAGGTGCAGAAGCCCAAGGCCTTGGACTATCTTCTAATGATTTTCCAGGCCATAGCAGAGAGCTGGATTGGAAGAGGGGCACCCAGGAATAGAACCAGGGCCCATACAGGATGCCGGTGCTGCAGGTGGAGGATTAACATACTGTGCCATGGAGCTGGCCCCCTAGCATACATTTTTTATAACTTTTATTTAATGAATATAAATTTCCAAAGTACAGCTTATGGATTACAATGGCTTCCACCCATAACTTCCCTCCCACCCGCAACCCTCCCCTCTCCCAATCCCTCTCCCCTTCCATTTACATCAAGATTCATTTTCGATTCTCTTTATCTACAGAAGATCAGTTTAGCATACATTAAGTAAAGATTTCAACAGTTTGCTTCAACACAGAAACATAAAGTGAAAAATAATAGATGATTTTTAAATGATGATGAAATCAGATCAGACCTATTGTCATGTTTAATCCCAGTGAGAGTCAAGTTGGGAATTGATAATTTCTTCTTCTTTTTTTTTTTACAGAAGATCTGTTTAGTATACATTAAGTAAAGATTTCAACAGTTTGCACCCACATAGAAACACCAAGTGAAAAATACTGTTTGAGTACTCGTTATAGCATTAAATCTCAATGTACAGCATATTAAGGACAGAGATCCTACATGAGGAGTAAGTGCACAGTGACTCCTGTTGTTGACTTTACAAATTGACACTCCTGTTTATGGCCTCAGTAATCTCCCCATGCCTCAGTCATGAGTTTCCAAGGCTATGGAAGCCTTTTGAGTTCTCTGACTCTTATCTTATTTAGACGAGGTCATAGTCAAAGTGGAGGTTCTCTCCTCCCTTCAGAGAAAGGTACCTCCTTCTTTGAAGACCTGTTCTTTCCACTGGGATCTCACTCATAGATATCTTTCATTTAGGTCCTCTTTTTTTTTTGCCAGAGTATCTTGGCTTTCCATGCCTGAAATACTCTCATGAGCTTTTCAGCCAGACCGGAATGCCTTTAGGGCTGATTCTGAGGCCAGAGTGCTGTTTAGGACATCTGCCATTCTATGAGTCTGCTGTGTATCTTGCTTCCCATGTTGGATTGCTCTCCCCTTTATTTATTCTATCGGTTAGTATTAGCAGGCACTAGACTTGTTTATGTGCTCCCTTTGACTCTTAGTCCTTTCATTATGATCAACTGTGAACTGAAATTG